GCTGTTGGTGTTGGTGTTGAATTCAGAACTGTAGCGGCACATGGGGCTGGAGGACGAGCGAAAGATGCTGACCGGGTCCGGAGATCCCAAGGAGGTAAGGGAAGGCGACCGACTCGACCCTCTTCACTGCCCAGAGGCTGAAGACCTACCCCGCCAAAACACACCCGGGGCCCTGTTGGCCCTGGATTCGCCCCTAGAGTTTGCACGGTCGGGATTGCTGGTTCCCTCGACCCTTCCACAGAATTTGTCTATTCATCTTGGACAAGTAGATGACTAGCCCTTTTCTGGGCTTAGTTTCTCCGTTCTGTGAATGCGGTGAAGGTGTAACGACAGCGAAAATGCTGTCGCCTAAACTTTTGTAAAAATAGTATATTTTTAGTCAGCCAGGTGATCTGAGACCCTGGTTTGACAGGTTTAGGGAGCAAGCCGACCGGCCTTTAGTGCTTCTCTCCGCTCAGGTCAGGAATCCCGCCACATCTTCTATGGAGGCTCCGGAGATCTGGCCTTACGCTAGATAAGTGAAGAAGTGGTTTCTTTTTCTTTGGTAGGGTGGGGGTGGGAGGTATATTTGGGGACAGTGTAGGAATGTGCAGTATAATTCTGCGATGATGGAAGAGGGAGCTCTTTCCCAGAGTAAGAATGCCAATGTAATAATTACTGACTGTTTACTATTCCAAGTACTTTATATGACTAATTCATTTAAGCCACACAGTAGTCCTATGGGGTAAGTATTGGGGACTGTTATTATGGTCATTTTACAGATGAAAAACTAGCATAGAAAGGTTAAATATCTTTTCTAAGGACCACAGCTTTAATCACGGAGCGGGGAGTTGAACCCAAGCAGCATGGTTTCAGAGACAAGACTTAGCCACGGTGCTACACAGCTTTGCAGAAGCCAGCTAGCTTTTGGTTTTCAGTCACATTTCCTATCCTTTGTTCTCTAGTCACTTCGCAGCAGCTGTTCCAGGTTTATGGGTTCTGAATAGTTGGAAACTAGTTTATCCCTTGATTTTTCCTAGTCTTCTTGTTTTCAGAAAGGGGAACAGAAGGAAATGGAGCCAGCCTCAGGAAGTTCAGCAGGACGTATACCAGAAAGTTCAGTAGGGCTCTCCATAGCAGTAGATGAAAAGAAGGTAGTCAGTTTTTTAAATTAAGAAAACTTTGGGGCGCCTGGGTGGCTCAGTCCTTAAGTGTCTGCCTTCGGCTCAGGTCATGATCCCAGGGTCCTGGGATAGAGCCCGCATTGGACTCCCTGCTCAGCGGGGAGCCTGCTTCTCCCTCTCACTTCGCTGCTCCCCCCTGCTTGTCCTGTATCAAATAAATAAAATCTTTAAAAAAAGAAAGAAAACTGAGGTCATTTATGAAGAACCTATACTTTTTGGACATTAAATCTTTTTATTTAGTGTGACCTTGGTTTTTGTCATTGACTGGAAATTTTACATGAAGTAGTCCATATTCAGACATAGTATTTGGATTTGTTTTTCCAAAACATGCCCTGATACTTCTGACACAAAATTATCAAAATGATCAATGTAGTAGCATTGCTAATAGGGAAATGATACAGAGGTCTTGCTTTTAGGATACTAATTTCAGGTTTCTAACTGAGGCAGAATATGATTTCAATTTTTTGGAAAAACATTTCAGTATGAATTTTTTTAAAGAGCAAGGTTAAGAAGGCTTAATGAAAAACTAGAATTTGACATCCCAAAAATCATCTTCATGTTTAGAAGAGATCTTTGCTAATTGTGAGAATAAATAGCATGGGTTATAGTTAAACCTGCCTTAGCCCTCCCAGCTTTCATGAGCTTTGGTCTCTTCCCCAAAGGGCATGGTAGAGAATAAAGCAGATTGTGTTGGAATTTTGAAAACATAATGAGGGATTGCTGAGCTAGTTCTTATTTTCCTATATACCTTTTCTTTCCCTTCCTCCAAATGTGGATATGTGCATGTGCAGGCAGGCAAACAGCTTGCTTTTGACAGGTTGAAATATTGATCAGACTCGGCTGTGCCCCAGATTTTGGCCTATAATGATGCTCCCACAGGGAATTTTTTATACTGCTCTCCTTGGAAGAAAGGAAACTAAGTTTGAGGTTGTGCACCTGAATCAGAAGTAAATAGGCAGGAGTTGGTGTTTCCAATCTTGTGAATGGGTTACTCTAGAGCTTTGATGCACTTATGCTGATAGTCTGCTTAAGAGTCCTGGGAGTTCACCAAGTCAAAAAGCAGTGACTGTAACCGTTTTTAGTTAAGCTCTGGCTAAAGAAAAGTTTAGGTTTGGCCATTTTCATATTCCCAGTTCATGTTCAGAGTCTAGAAAAAATGTTAGTTTTCCTCCTAACTTTGGGATATAAGGACTAAATTGAGCTATTTCTGGTAATACTAGGGCCTACCAGAATTTCAAACAAAAATACTTTAAGTTATATAGGTTCCATGTGAACATCAGCTTGAATCTGTATCAAAAAATGTCTAATTGGGGCACCAGTTGGCTCAGTCGATAGAGTGTGTGAATCTTGATCTCAGGGTGGTGAGTTCAAGCTTCACGTTGGGCGTAGAGCTTTAAAAAAAAAGAAAGAAAATATCTAATTAGTGTTCTCTCTAAACTGGGAGCCCTTAAGGGTCTGTTGTGATTAATCAAATTACAGATACGAAAGTACTTTATAAACTTTATTTATTTTAAAGATTTTATTTATTTACTTGAGAGAGAGAAATCGAGACAGCACAAGCAAGGGAAAGGGGCAGAGAGAAAGGGAGAAGCAGACTCCCCCTGAGCAGGGAGCCCGATGTGGGGCTCGATCTCAGAACCCTGAGATCATGACCTGAGCCGAAGGCAGAGTTTAACCGACTGAGCCACCCAGGCGCCCCACTTTATAAACTTTAGAGTGTCCTACACACTAGGTTGTTGCTAATGAAAGTGAGATAGTGTGTCCTTGTTGAAATGTTTGTTTTAATTAGGTATGGTAATAGTACAGGCATGGAGACAACTGTTTTTGAAAGAAGAGTTGATTATGAGTCCCAAGAGAAGGGAGGGAAGGCCACACCACTCAGGGCCACCTGGAGAAGGGCCTGGACCATCGGAAAGAGCAAGGGAAACCAGACTCTTGGTTTCTGAGGGAAAAAATGGGTGAGGCAGGATAGGCAAGCTCTGGCAAATTTAGGATTGGATTATTTGAGTAATTTCTGTGGGTTCTGGGCTATAGGGGTGGTCTCTAGCTGTTTGGTACTTGGCCTTCAGGGTGATTAGGGCAGGAGCAATAATTGGTTTAGTCTAGGAGATAAAGGAAGTGATTGGTGATAAGGGTTTTGGATTGGTTGGTTTACATATGAAAGGTGTGTCCCGTGGGAGGGGCTTTCTCTCCAGGATTAGCAAAGCCCCTAAAATGTCAAAGCGTCATAAAATACAGAAAATTTTAAAACACAATTAATACAGTGTTTATCCTCAGTAATTACAACATCAGTATGATTAGGAATATATATCCTAAGTTGCTGCTGACATTAATTTTGTTTTCCTTTTGTAGGAGGAAGAGGAGGAGGAGGAATTAGTGGTAAGAGCCGTCTCAGGTTTGGAACCATCTCAGTAAAAGGAAGTTTGAGCTTCATGAACTCTAAGGGCATTTTAAGGAGTCTTTATTTGACACGTGGGAGAGAATGGAAATGGAAAAAACCTTTAATACTTCCTTCCTGTGCTGTGGAGTGTTTGGGGGGTGCGGGCCTGGGAAGCTGAGTCTTTTCTGGGTTTGGAGCTTCTTTAGTCATGGTGTCAGGGAGCAGAGCAGCATCTTGAGGGCCTGGTATTCAGTTATCTATCTGCTATTTGCGGTTTAATAAAGGACTCTGGAAGAAACTTTTCTTATATAGTCCTTCTCCATGTTAATATTGCCTTTCTAGCTGGGCAGCTGGGGTACATAGGCCTGGCTGTCAGATGAGGGGAATTCAAATTCACAGACATTACATATCCCAAATGCTGTGTTAACAAGTAAGGCCTCCTATAGATCTACTTCAAGTTTGGCTAGGTTTCCTTTACCACCTTGTTTTTCAGATAGGACTGAGGCTTTCAGTGCATACTGGCAACCTTGGAAGGCAGGAATGTGAAACTTTCCCCTACTACTTAGCATCAGAATTGAATGGGAGACCCCATTCTGCCATTTCTGGCGGCAGTGTGGCTCTGCCAGCTGGCCTTCTGCACGGTAATTCAGAGGCAGCACCTTGGTTTGGTGGTTGTATTAATCAAAGCAGATGGTTTGTGGGTCTCCTCCTAAAACCCGCATTTCTGTGTTTCTCCTTCAGGATCCCCTAACAACAGTGAGAGAGCAATGCGAACAGCTGGAGAAATGTGTAAAGGCTCGGGAGCGGCTAGAGCTCTGTGACCAGCGTGTATCCT